TTTGGTATTGGCATAAAAATCAAACATGTGGATCAGTGGAATGGAATAGAATTGAAGACTCTGACATTAATTCACACACCTATGAACACCTGATTTTTGACAAAGAACCCAAAATGGTACAATGGAAAAAGGAAAACAAACGCTGCTGGCATAACTGGATGTCAACCTGGAGAAGACTGCAAATAGATCTACATCGATTGCCATGCACAAAACTCAAATCCAAGTGGATCAAGCACCTCCACATAAATCCAGCTACACTGAACCTGATAGAAGAGAAAGTGAAAAGTGGCCTTGAACACATTGGCACAGTTGACCACTCCCTAAATACAACACCGGTAACACAGACATTGAAGGCAACAATCAATAAATGGAACATCCTGAAACTGAAAACCTTTTGTAAGGCAAAGGACACTGTCAATAAGACAAAATGACAACCTACCGAATGAGAAAAGACATTCACCAACCTCACATCTGATAGAAGGCTTATCTCCAAAATATATAAAGAACTCAAGAAACTAGACACCAAATACAAAAGAACCCAACTGGAAAATGGGGTACAAAACTAAACAGAGAATTCTCACCAAAAGACTCTCAAATGGCCAAAAGACATTTAAGAAAGTGCTCAACATCCTTAATCATCAGAGAAATGCAAATCAAAACAACTCTTATACCTTCCAGAATGGCTATGATCAAAAATACTGAGGACAACTTATATAATAGGATGTGGAGTGAGGAGAACATTCTTCTACTGCTGGGGGTAATGCAAACTTATACAGCCACTTTGGAAATCAGTATGGTAGCTTCTTAGAAAACTGGGAATCAATCTACCTCAAAACCCAGCAATACCACTCTTGGGCATATACCCAAAGGATGCTCAATCATACCAAAGGACATTTGTCCAACTATGTTCATAGCAGCATTATTCATAATAGACAGAACCTGGAAACAACATAGATGCCCCTCAACTAAAGAATGGATAAAGAAAATGTGGTACATTTACACAATGGAGTACTACTCATGATCCTCATGAACTAGAGGATCAAACTAGAAAAAAAAAACATCCTGAGTGAGATAACCCAGAATAAAAAGACAAACACCATTGGTATTCACTCATAAGTGGGTATTAGGTGTGAAGCAAAGGATAACCAGACTACAATCCACAGCCTATGTGGTTAGGGAGAAACCTGGTGCTAGAGTAATTGCCAAGAATCCACAGGATGACCCAACTAAGACTCTTAGCAATAGTGGAGAGGGTGCCTGAACTGGCCTTCCCCTGTAAATCAGATTGGTGAATGCCCCATCTTATCATAGAGCCCTCATCCAGTAATTGACGGAACCAGACATAGTTCTGGAAATCCAGTTGAAGAAAGGCAGGAAGGAATATATGAACAAGGGAGGTCAAGATCATGTTGGAGAAATCTACAGAGACAGCTGAACCAAGCTTGTGAGGCCAACCTGGTCTACACAGAAAGTTCCAGAACTACGTAAGGAGATGCTATCTCAAACAAATAGAACAAAAACAATGTCCTCCCAGGTGTAGTGATGCACACCTTTAATCCCAGAATTTGGGAGGCAGATGCAGGAGGATTTCTATGAATTCCAGGCCAGCCTAGTTGTGTACAAAGGTAGCCAGGGCTAAATATCAAGTCACTGTCTCAAAAAAAAAAAAAAAATAACAGCAGCACAAGACCACACTAACACATTCTGTACTGCCTTTCTTTTACTTTCTATTCAGAAATGAGGCCTTACATGCAGTGCTCTATTAATTATACAAAGTTTTCAGCTCATAATCCATTTAGAAAAAAAATCCTATTTCAGAGTATGTTTCTGACCTGTTAATGAATTTTAATCCCCCTCAAGTTGCTATGCAAAATAAATGTGCCAGCACATACATTACTGTAGTCCTGTTCTTCCCCATTATTGTCTGATATAAAAACAAAAGTGAGAATTCCTCAAAGTGTTAAAAAGAAAATGAATAAATGCTTTGCTTCACTCTGTACAGATCTACTAAACTCATTTCTCAAATGAGGAAAAAAAGATATCCAAATGGACATAAGGATAGAAAAACATATTTTTTAAAAATCTTGGAAAAGTATCTATTTACCCCTAAATTGCAACTGTGAAAACTGTTAGGTATTAAAAAGTTTGAAGACAGGAAAAATAAAATTGTTTTTAGAGAAAAAACAAAAGCAAGACAAACAAACAAAAAACAGTGAAAATGGGAAAAGATACTCTTCAATTTTAAAATAAAATGTCTGAATTATAGAGATGGCCCCAGACATTTGCCAGATAGCAGTAAGGTTTTCAAATGGATGACCTGTCAGGTCAATGGCCACAGTGTGCAGCAGGAGCCACTGCAATGGACTGAATAGGCTAAAGGTAAACCCAAAGACAGTCAGATGAGAACAGCAACATTTGAAGAGACATCTTCATAAAAACCTGCCAATTTAACAGATTGCTCATATAAACTGAACACAAACAACAAAGTTTCTAAAACTATTTTAGGAAAAAATGAAAAACCCCAGGGGAACTATCAATATCGAAGCTGCAAGTCATTAACAATTCAAACTCCAGATTCAGGCATGATTTGAATCATGATCAGCACCCCTGGCTGAAATACCTCCAAGCATTAACAAAGCCTACAAGTTTTCTAAGTAGTTCTTTTGGACTTCTGCATTTATAATGCGGTCATTAGTCCACCCTTCCTGGGACCAGTTTGTAAAAGTAAACAAAGCCATCTAATAGAGCAACCACTACAAAACTGTGCTAATCTTCCCAAATAAACCAAGAAAACATCCTAGTTTATACCCCAAGAAACAAACCATAATATTAAAACTTCTGTAAGTTCATAAATTTATAAATTACATTTGGTAATTTATAAGGTAGAGAAAATATTTTTATAACCAAAATACAGTGACCCATGTATGACTCTGAAAGGGAGCTACTTAGTAAAGTGAAGTTGCTCACATCTCTATAGGACAGAAAGACAAGAATGACAATATTTAACTTTCAAACAACTTTGCAGCCAATATATAACACAGAATGGCTCTCTTCTTGAACCAACAATAATAAATTTGACTCCTTTTTGATCATAGAGGATTTACAGAAAAAAAAACTAAAAGACTGCAAAAATGGTTTGGAAGAAAACTATTTTCTTTTAACCTTGCTTGAAAAAAAAATACTAAATAGAGGTGCAAAGGAACAGGAAAAAAGCAGGCTTGCTATCAATCCTTTTCAGAAAAAGAAACCACACCCTACCCCACAGTATTGTTTGAAGACTGCTGTGTACCTTTTGACTTCATGGAATAAACAAAATACCAAATATATGAAACAAATAAAACCACCTCTTTCAAAGATGAAGAAAAAAAAAAAAGAATCTAAGTACCCATCTTTATGAAGCAACAACACACATGGTAAGATAATTAGCTTTCTGAGTGATACTTTTCAAAATGAGAATCAATTAAAAGAAAGATATAAGCATTCAGTCAGTCCTTAATTAAAGAAAGAAGATACCCAGGATTCAGAGCAATGACAAGTGGCACAGTTGCAAATACCTATCATTAATCTAAGTTTGCTTAAAAAGAATGCTAGATATGATTCTCAGGTTAACAGTGTGATAAATATCCATTGGGAGGAATTAGAATAAGGAGCATTTTGTTTAATGTCCTTCCTTTCTTGCCCTGGTCTTCATATCCCTCTACCCAAAGTATTTTCTTTCTCTATATTAAAGAAAATACAAAACGTTGATTCTAAGAATCATACTAGATATCCATGTGTTTTTGCCTCAGCTCCTACATTAATCCAAACAATAAGGGCTTATAGAACATCAATAAATAACCTGCTGCTGCTGCTGGCACCTAGATGCCAAGTGCAGCAATGCTGAGGACAACAGATTCATAGTTCAAGAGGCACAGTTAAGGAAAACATTGCTCAGGAAATCACTCTTATTTAGCATTAAGATGCTTAAAATTTGCATGAAATCAGTCAAGTAACTATAGAAACCAATTTCTTCAGCTCCATATCACACATCTCACACCTCAATTGTCTTTATTATCGTCTGCTGTCAGATCCTTAACCAGGAATGTGAACAGGATTGATGATTTATTCAGGAGAGAAGAGAATCTGCAGGTCAAGTGAAAATTCTCATTCTCACTCTCTCTCTCTCTCTCTCTCTCTCTCTCTCTCTCTCTCTCACACACACACACACACCTTGAACCTTAGGTACTTTCATTTCATTCTGTTCTCAGTAGCTCTGGGGGTAACTCCAGTGAGATCCAATATTAAGGCTCAATTAAAATAAGCTCCAATTAGTGGAGCTTTTTTCTCTGAGGCTAGAGAAGTCAGGAAATGGATATTGGGAAATGTAAAAAGTCAGCTACTGAGAGAAGGCTGCAGACATAAATGAACTTATTTGTTGATTTCTACAGTTGCTATGCAGAGGCCTCTGGGAGTAAAAGCTTAACCAGTCTAAGCTATAAACTAAAACCCCTGCAGCTAAACATGAACTGTGTGAAACAAGGGCTCCATTCCAGAACAGAAAACTGCTGGGCCCAGAAAATTAAAAGCCAGAGGCATTTTCCATTTAAAACTAAATCCCAGTACCAGCTCCCAGCCAAAGAATTATAAGCAGTATCAGATTTACAAAACGAACAATTACCCTGGAAAAATGTAGCCTATTGTACAGTCCCAGATGCTAAATCTCAAAGTTTCTTTCTTTCTTTCTTTTAATCCCACACTATATTCCTCCAAGTATATGGTTGCAGTTTACAAAGAGCCATTTCCAGACAGGCCTAAGCCTTGAAAATAAATTTTAAAAGGAGAGCACATAGCTCACTGACCTCATTTGAAGTACTGCCCTTGCCTTCAGCAGTTCCTGTCCTTCCCCAAGGCTTTTGCAAATGGTATGCAACAGTAAAATAAACCCTGACCTAATTGCCAAGAGAGAGGCTGCCAACCTTCCCTCAAACACAAAGACCAGAATGGTAACTTGAAAGTCCTACCTCTTTGGCTTTCTGCTTTAATCTCAGCTGTTCTGGATCTTCTTTATTGGAACGGCTCTGTCAAAGGAAAAGAAAATTTTAATAGAAATCATCTAAACACTAGCATTGCTGTTAAATATTTAATAAACGATTATTTCTCCTGTGATTGAAAACCCTAGCTCCAGGGGCAATGCCTCGATCCAGTCTCACTGCACTCCAGCCCTTGCCCCCTCCTCCTCCTCATCTGGGCTGGCTGCTGCAGTTCTAGCCTGGAGGAAACACATACTGAAAATGATGCTAACAATGTCAGTCAGGTCCAGTCAAGGCATGACATTGTTCCTGCTGGAACAGGGCAAAATGAAAACTGGCCTGAACAGGAGAAAGGGGAAAGAAGTGTGGACTCAAATGAATGAAAACAAAGAACACTGGCTTATCTTTAGGTGAAGCCATTTTGGAAAAGCATATGTTATTTAAACAGCTATGAAAATCAAGAACTCAACTAGCCTTGAATCAAATCTCTTAAAAAGAGTAATTTCTGAAAGCACAAGTAGGAAACACATTCTAATATTTTTATTAGAGTTTTAGGTGCTCTATAACACTTACTAAACTAATACTTTTTGATACTATCCATGCTATAAATAAAACAAAATGTGATAAAAATGAGCATGAGGAATGTGGTAGGTACTTCTCTGGTTAGGCGGTGTGTTAGACATCTATCTCTGACAACTAACAATTGAGGAGAAGTCTGAACAACAAGAAATAGGCAATCACATTAAGTCATTAGGGAAGAACATTCAAACAGAAGACACAGTAAATACAAAAGCCTTAAAATGACAGCAAGCCTGAGAACAGATATGATGACCATGTGTTTGAGGCACACAGAAAATATGAAGGAGAAAAAGGAGGTTAAGTGTTGCCTTGTAGCCATTTTAAGAAGTAGAAGAGTTAATTGTCGATTTAACAATCAGCCACTGGAGGAAGACTATTGTTGCACAGCACAAGAATGAGAGTACACTGGAGCAACCCCTTCGAAGTGAGCTCCACTGGGCATACCACGTGTTTACTACATACATCTACAACTGAAGGGACAGGTGCCCACATAATGAAGAAACCATTCTCAAGAAATTGCTATGAATAGAGGGTGACTGAGAAAACAATGACTGCAGTCTAGAACAGCAGTAGAGCAATGATTACAAAGACAAATAGATTCAAATTCCATTTTGAAAGTAAAGTCAAACCAAATTTGTGGTAGACTAGATACAAAATACAAACCAAAGAGGAAAAAAAAAATGTTATCTTAGATTCTGGTCTAAGTAACTGAGAGGAATTCTAACTTTCTATAGCGGAAGATCTAATGAGAAGAGTACACAACAATGGAGAAAGAATTCAGCTGTCAGTTTCAGATGCCAAATCAAAGGTTGAATGCCCTAAGGTGGACACAAGCTTGGAACAGATACTTCAGTATGATAGTGGAATGAGTGAAGGAGTGTCATGAGGCAAACTCAAAGAGGGACTCAGGTCCTGTAAGAAGTTTGGATAAGTACAACCAACAAGAAATCACTAAAAGCTATGTTTGTTTTGTTTTGAGACCCAGTCTGTCCTCAAACTCAAAGAGATCCTCTTGCCTCTGCCTCCCAGGCGCTGGGATTAAAGTCTTGAGCTACCACACCCTGCAAGGCCATGCATTTTTATTATGAAAACCATTCTGATGAAATGGATATGGAAAGAAAAAGAGATCAGTTAGAATACATAAAAATCTGAGGAAACAATATATTGGACTAGAGTGGTGACAATGGAATGAAGAGAGGATGGATATTATAGACTACAGTGAGAGTTACTAAGGCATGGGCATGGAGAAAAAGCAAAGATAACACTTAGGGGTTTTCCCCCCATAAGTTAGGTAAATTAGGGTGTCTTTGAGTTAGAAAAAGCCATATTAAAAGTAAGAAAAATCAGAAGTCTATTTGGACATACACAATTTGAGAGTCCTATTGGCCAGAAAAGTGGTATCAAACAAGCAGTCAATTGTACATGCCAAAAGTTTCAGAATGTAGACCGAGCTGTAAGTACAATCTTAGGAGGCATAAGACTGAAACCCAGGGCATCCCAATATTTAGCACTCTGTCTCAAAAAAAGAAGAAAACCCCAAAAGACTAAGAACCAGTATAATATTTTATATAAATAATACCTAGAATAGTATCCAATGGTTTTATAACCTTATTTATTGTATAGTTATTAGAAATAAAGAACCAGTAAACTTCCTTGTTATGATAGCTGAGTTCTTGCTTAGAGTATTTCAAGCTTAAGAAAGAGTATTTTCCTGTCTCATCTCCCTGCCCTTCTCAGCACAGGGGTCAGTTTGGGGCTGAGACAGCAGGGCAGTGACAATGCTACAATGCCCATATCCTTGTAGAGGTTTGGGATGTCTCGATGACACACAGGCCAGTGGTTGTAATGCTAAGAAGTATGGCCAATAAAATCGCATGAAGGAAATAGTAGACAAGAGTCAGTCACTCTGGTGGCATATGGATCTCACTGATCAAATATATACACTGACTGATTACATATGCTAAAGATTATAATTAAAGTAAACTTTCTGAATCCTGAAGTAAAAAATTATTTGAAGGGAGGGAAGCAGGCAGCAAATACAAATGAATGAATATGCACATACATGAAGACCACTGAACAAGTGTACAGGTCAGAGGAACAACTTATGGGAGCCAGGTCTCCTACCACCATGTACAATTCAGGGACTGAATTCAGGTGACCAGGCTTTATAAAGTAGATATGTTTGGGTACAAAGAATGAAGTCCAGGTCGGGCAATGGTGGCACACGCCTTTAATCCCAGCACTCAGGAGGCAGAGGCAGGCAGATCTCTGTGAGTTTGAGGCAAGCCTGGTCTCCAAAGTGAGTGCCAGGATAGCCTCCAAAGCTACCCTGTCTCGAAAACCAATAAATAAAATAAATAAACAAATAAAGTCCAGAGGTATCCATATGAACTCATGATTCAATAATACAAATAGAGATACAGAAAACATTGTAGATATTTGTGTACATGTATGTATATACACATCATACAAATATTTACTAGAGCCATCCACTAATATATCCTATATAGAATGACACTGTTAAGCAATGAACATAGTGCACTGTGTGCTCTAATACCGGTTTCTGAACATCATCTTCAAGTAATAAGACGCAGAATTTCCTATAGATATGGTTGATTCCAAGATGGAAGCAGGAAGAGTAAAGGTTGGCCCTCGAATATCTTAATAACAAAATGTAGGACATGCTCAGAGAGTGAAAGAGACATGACAAGTGCCAATTTAGAAGGGTCTCCCACCTACAGGCATTATGAGCATCAAAATAAATCTTAATAGTAAGGTAATATAGACAGCTGAATTAAACAGAAACCCACAGATTCATATTTTCATTAATAGGGAGAAAAAGAAAGCCTTTTCATATAACAGAGAGTTATATGTGAAGGGAAGTTAATGAGAATAACAATTAGTACCAGGCAATCCCCACAGAAGTAGCTGATTCAGGAACTTTCGAAGGCTGATACATGAAAATTAGATGAAGAAAAGATGTTGATATAATTTGTGAACATTAAAATAACCCATGAAAAAATAAAAACTTAAAACTAAAAACTTACAGAGACAGTGGTCAATTTAAAATGGAAAGAACTGGCAGACAACTAAATGCCTGGATTATCAGGTTGCCTTCTGAGATTATTAGCTCAGAAAAATGTATCATCACCTTTGTGTATTCCTGCCAAGGGTACATAACTATAAGTCCTAAGGAAATACCAAACGAATGCAGGTGAAGGTCATGATGCAGAAAGTGAGTTGAAGGTAGGTAAGGTCTTGAAAGTGCTAAGGGAATGAGTCCATAAGAAGGACTGAGATTGCCAGAAGAAATGTGAAAAGAGAGTAAATGAAATACATATTTCTGGAGAGAAAAATGGAACACAAAGAAAACAAGTGAGACAGCTGGTGAAATCTGAACAGGGATCTGTGCAATGCACACTAGAATGTTTAAGGATGATGGGTCATTATGTCTCAGGACTGCTTTCCAAAGATTCTCTGAATTGTCTAGTATAGACAGTTACATAACTGTAAATAGATTTAAAAAAAACTCTCAACTAAGGAAGAAGGGAAGATGGACATACTGACAAACTAAAGTGTGTGTGTGTTAAGGTGCATGCAAGGGATGGGGAAATGAGTAGAGATGGAACAAATGCAAGAAAATGAGGGAATCTAAGAAAATGGACAAAATGTATAGTTTTGGTACTATAATATCAGAATAAATCATTTAAAATAAATCAAAGAAGCAATTAGAGCCAAGTATCATGACTGACCCTTGTAAATTCCAGCATTTCAGAAAAGGCAACAGGACAGTGGGTACAAAGGCTATGTGGGCTACATTAGTATTAGTTCTTAGATCCTGTCTTATTACAGAAGATTAAAAACAATAGGTGGTGGACTGGGTATGATGGTGCATGTCTTTAATGTCAAAAGGTCCTCAAAATAAAAATTAAGACTCTGGTGTTCAGCTTTCACAATTTCTTGTGAGACTCCAATTATGTCTACGAAGAACTGTGGGGGTACAAAATATAAAACTGTAGTAGAATTGAACTTTTATGCAGTACCCAGGCATTACTAGTCCTAGAAAACAACTTAAAAGGAAGAATACAGGTCTATGGCTCCATCTGTCATTCCTATGATTCTCCCTCTCTCTAATCCATTTCCACCAACTTATATTTGGTTCCATATACTCCAAAATAGTCTTAATTTACTATAATCTTCCTATCTTTTAAATATTGTTCTTGTTAATTTCAGCTTAGTATATTAAGAGTCTAAAATTTGTATAAGAGTTTAACCTGGGAATTGGGATAGATGGATGGAAATGACATGGGGTCCAAAAGAATATGAGGGAGGGGGAAACAAAAGATTATGACTTAGTGACTAAATTAACTGAATGCTACTACTACCCTACACCATCTTGGCTGTGAGACGCCATATTAATAATTTCATTTTAGGATATTCTCAAGAGAAATCTAAAGGCTTCATAAAAGCAAGACTGTCACATTGCCAGGCCACGTTCCTGTAAGTCACACAATGCTTACCTTGGCTGCTCTTAGTAACATCTCTCTTTCTTCTAGATCCTTCCTCTGTTTCTCCAATTGATCTAGCTTTTCAAGAAATTTGAGCTGTGATCTGGTGTCATTAGACAAGATGTAATTTTCACTTCCCTAGGGGAAAAACAGTTTTATTATTCTGGGCAATACATTTACAATAGGCATTATGATAAACAATACAATACAAAACATCAACTCACAGAGGGACCTACATTTTTCAGGAGGTAATTTTTTTTACTTTGTTAAACAAGCAAGCAAACAAAATAAAAGCCAGAAACTTTAATCATCTTTAAATTTGAGAGATGATTAGCATTTACATTTCAGAAAGATTTCCTTAGCAAGCCTACTCACAGACAGCAAAAGGGATTAAGTCAAACGAATCCTATCATTAGGAAAAAGAACCCAGTAGAATATACCATTACCTATAATTCAATCTCCCTTGGTCAAATTATTTCCTATCTACTGACATAAATATGAGTAACTAAATATTAGATGAAAAGCAAGAAACAATCCCCACACTGAAAAAGACAGCTAAGAAAAAGAGCTACCATGGATAGATTGGCTTAATTTTATTTAATCCCAACATTATGGAGGCGGAGGTGAGATCTCTTGAGCTGAGGCCAACTACAGAGTGAGTTCCAAGACAAGCAGAGCTACATAGAGAAACCCTGTCTCAAAACAAACAAACAAAAAAAATCATGAAGGCCTGCTTTGTAGATTCCTTTATGAAATCTAAATTTAGATAGCAACTTTACTCAAAATAATTCTGCATATAATTTATTTATTTACCATTTATCTATTTATAAGCAGGTTCTCACTATACAGAACAGGCTGTCCTGGAACTTGAGATCATCCTGCCTTAGTCTTCCAAGTAGTGGGGAAAGCATATAATTTACAAATGAGAATTGCAACAAAAAGCTATAATTTCTTATCTTAAATATTCCATAAAATGACAAAATTAAAAATGTCTCATTTATCCAGGTATGCTAGAATACAAAAACAGTGCTTTTAAATCTAAGTATTTTCTAGTTTTCTTCACCTATGGCTACCTAACTCCCTCTATGATGCAAATATTCGCACATGTGGGCTGTTGTGGGAGAATTTAAAATAATCAATGCATACCCTAACATCTACTCAACTCAGTAGCCAACACTTGAGGGAGACTCTTACAGTCAAAAACAACTAAACACTGAGTTCAACAGTAAGCGCCTGGCTTAGAACCCAGCACCATACATACTACTTCCATCTCCACCTCCACTTTATTCTCATGCTTATGGCTGCTTCAATTAGCTTAGACTAAGAGATTTCATATGCCCAAGATTCTTTTTAAATTAAAATTTTATTGTTGGCATTTAACTAGATCAAAAGAGTATTACATGGTTTAAGGAAGAAGGATGTATTAGTGCTACTTATTTTACTTAAAGTTTAATACAAGAATTCCCAAATGGTCTTTAAAGTTAAATAATACAAGATAAAATGTGGAATACATTATAGGTCAAGCATAGAGGTTAAGCACAATAACAGTGGTTTCCTAAATACTTCATCTTTACCATTTCTGTGTTCAGAAACTCTGGAGACAGTTTACGGACAGAAATTTAATTTAAAAGGGACAATAAACACTAAATTAAAAAGAAGCACAGGCATTCTAAATTTTAACCATATCACATTCTCATGCTGTTTCCTTTACCAATTCAGATACAACTGCCTGTGGCATTAATTTCTCCTTTTTTTCCCAGCAACAGCAAATGAGTGCCTTTCCCTAACCTACTGAATCCTTACTACCTTTGTTATCATGTTCCTCCTGTCTCTGTGAACCAACTAACTGAAGAATTCATGTACCAAAAGTATGAAAGCCAAGCCGGGTGTTGGTGGCGCACGCCTTTAATCCCAGCACTCGGGAGGCAGAGGCAGGTGGATCTCTGTGAGTTCGAGACCAACCTGGTCTACAAGAGCTAGTTCCAGGACAGCTTCCAAAAAAAGCCACAGAGAAACCCTGTCTTGAAAAACCAAAAAAAAAAAAAAAAAAAAAAAAAAGTATGAAAGCCACTAGATATCCAGATGCAAGTGACATTAGCACCATCAGGTGAATCCCACCTAAAGGAACCATCACAGTACCTTTCTGCTAGAGAGTGAAACTTCTTCTCCATCCCCACAGCACAGTCTGCAGGTTCAGTGCAAAAACACAAAGCAGAGCTGGGCAGTGGTGGCACACACCTTTAATCCCAGCACTATGGAGGCAGAGGTAGGTATATCTCTGTGTTCAAGGCCAGCCTGGTCTACAAGAATGAGTTCAAGAACAGCTAGGACTACATTGTGAAACCCTGCCTTGAAAAAAAAAAACACCAAGCAGGATTTTTAAAAAAACCCTAGACTAGTGCTAGATTACTTCTACTTTTTCATTTAAATTTCAGTTTATGACCTATGACTAATTAGGACATTATACCTACCAAGTAAAAGTAACTAATATCTAGAATAGAAAAGATGGTGAGATTTTGCTTTTAATAATGGTGGCTCCTTTCTTAATAGTTTGTGGAGTAGAATTTCCTTTATTGTACAGATAAAAATAAATCCCAAGAGATAGAAAGACCAGACCAAATCTTTGATACAAATACTATAATTAAAGTCTATAAAATAATGATAAGCTTTGAAGTAAATTCAAAGTTGATTATTATTTCTTCTTAAAGAAGGATAATTCTGTCTATATAATATTCAGACTAATTATCCTAAAGAATGAGTGTTAGGGAAAGGGTGCAGTATAAATCAATAGGAATAGTAAATGTGGTTCTCAGCCTGTAGGTCATGACCCCTTGGGGGGTGTTAAACAACACTTTCACAGAGGCTACATATCCTATATATCAAATATTTACATTATAAATCCAATAGCAAAATTACAGTTATGAAGTAGCAATGAAAACAATTTTATATTGGGGTTCACCACAATATGAAGAACTGTACTAAAGGACCACAGCATTATGAAAGTTGAGAGTCACTGATACAAGTAGAGAGCCACCATATAGCAGAAAGTTAAGAAGGTATTTATCCTTAAATTAAGTGATTAAGGTCTTCCAGATAGGGTAAATACTACCCATTTTCTTAAGACTACCAAATCCTAGTAACACATGCAATTGATGCAAAGAAACAGTCTACCGGAAGTTTATGCAACAAAGCTTTGAATGGCACACTGAAATGAAATCTTTTGGGAGTATTCCCTTGGAGTTAGAAGCTGTGGTTCACAGCAGGTCAAGGCTGAATCTCATGCTGACAGCCAAACTTGATAATGTGTAAGATTCAGGCATGAGAGGGTCATAGAGTAAAAAGGTCTGTATACAAGGGCTGGAGTCCCTGAAAAGATGCCAGGAGAAGGCACTTGTAAATGTAGAGTCTCAGTGACAGTGGAGACCCTAGGATTGCAGGATTAGTCATGGAAAGAGACTATTGATACCACGTAGTAAGGTCAGAATCCCTGAAGAGAACCCAGGAGGCCACTGATGAAGGTACTGCTCGTGGAGACCCCAGCCTATGGGAGATGCCAGAACCATAAAATGACAACAAAAGACAACAGCAGCTGTGGATTCGAACTGCCCTGAGACTACAAGACAAACTGGGTGTGCTATGAATGGCAGAGCTGGAGAAATGAAAGCTTTGGAGCCAAGAAGACCATGAGTACCAGATGCCACACACGGAGCTATTTATACTTATGGAGTTGGGCTTTGCTTTGATTGTAACTGTGCTCTGGTTCTTTCTTCTTAAAGTAAGAAAGTATATAATTTATTTTTTTTATTTTATAGGAGCCTACAGTTGAGTTTTTGGACATTTAAGGAAAAGTTAGACTCTTGAGTAATGGACTTTTTTAAAGACTGGGCAACTTTTAAATTTGGAATGTTCTATGATTTGACTTAAGAACCATTCCATGAGATGAAACCATATCCAAACACTGCTTGAGTGACCAAGAATCAAGAGACTAGATAGCCCAGAGACCTAGGGTAAAACTAAATACTAGTGGTCTAAAAAAAAAAAATAGTGAAACAAAGACTTCTAATGATATTCTGCTATAAACACAGACCAATGGCTTGCTCAGCCATCAGAGAAAACAAAATTGCCTGGTTCTTTTTAATGACTAAAAGGGAAGTCACTAGCTAAAATAACAAAGAAAAAAGGGAAGACACAAGTTAAGAATCAGAAAAAAAAGGACAATTATTACCACCAACTGAACTGACATAAATAATAGATAACCCACAAAAAATGGACAAATTCCTATACTCACATAAAATGGAATATTGACATTGTTTTCTACACCTTTTTATGATGCTGATTCCACATTTTTAAGTCAGTCTGACAAATTCTCACAAAAATTTTGCAAGTAAGGATCTTCCCAAATTCTACATGAAACACAATGTAAGTAAGATGATTTCTCCCCCAAGCTACTAGGGAGACAGCAGCAGATATTCTGAATTTCCTTTAATCTATATTGCCAAGCTTTGGCAATGAATAATTCTATTGTAAACTCAAAACTTCACAAAGTTACCTATTTATCAACACGTTGAAATCTATCTCTTGACAATTTTTTTTAATTTAAAAAGGGTTATTCCTTTTCATCCCATTATCTTTTCTTAAAATCCATAATCATTCAGTTATTTGCCCACCTCTGAAACTACAATTCAGAAGTGATCTTACCCTAAAGGCCAAGAAGCAATAAAAACTACAATTTAAATATACCAAGTGCCTTTGTCTCAGTTACAGCAAGTCATTTTGTTACACCATTAGGAATTAGACAGGCTATTCTTGCACTTAGTCTTTCATAATAGCAGCCAAGAGCAGTAATGAGTGACACTAGTATCAACACTTACTGTCATCACGTAAGTAAGAGCCATGTAAGTAGAGTCCAGACCACCAAAGAGAACACACACAACTGATATTCCATCCTAACACAACCTCCTTCCTAATCAAGGTGCATACTCCAATATGCAGCAACAACAACAACAAAAAAAAAACGTACTTTGAACACTATAAATCCTATTTTAATTTGATTTACTATGCAAGCATTTCCAAGTGAAGAAATTAAGGAAACTTTTTTCCTCAATCATTTTTCTAAATATACATCCAGATATGAACCCTTGTCCATGAAACTACCTTTAATATTGCTCAGGAGATGACAGTCTGTACTTCCTTAATATTTCCTTTACCTTGTAAACAGTCATTCGATGCTGAGCAATTGTAGTCAGTTTCTCAAGAAGGCCTCGTAATCTCTCTTGTGTTGCATGGGAGATCAAGTTCACAGCATCAGAGTTAAGTTCTGTAATGTCATGCTTTTTACCTGTATAGGCAGAGAAAATCCATTACATGTTTTAGTAGTGGCTTATAATTGAAATAATTAGCACAGCAGGTATTCAGTTCCCCCTGGAAGTCATACCCATTATGAATAAAGGTTCGGAGATTATGGTTTTCCTGGTAAAGTCACAACTTCAAAGATCTTAGACATTACATTAATAAAACCTAGCCTGGAGCCTCAGAAAATATAGACATTGTTTCCCTTAGCCTCTAGAATCATTCTCCTTGCAAGGTCATTTATAGGACAAAGTTAATAAGAACACAAATCAAGTTTAGTGTTCAGGGAGGAAAATGGTAACTGCAGAAATTAGTGCTATATTCTGTTAATTTTAGTAATTAAAAAAAAATGGAAAGTCACATTTTACCCTGTTAGACACTGTTAACAATTCATGGCATTAATTTCAGTGAACTGAAATTATAAATCTGTTCATTCCTTGTCTATAAAACATACCTATATTCTTTTTGTCTGTTACCAATATTTTGTACTACTCATGTTTCCATAAATTAACCTATTAAATTACAAGTTGATATATGCTCAAAACCTCATCATTTCACCATCAATTTCAATAACTTTGTTTCTTTTATGAACAAATTGTCTTATACAGGTTGTAAAGAGGAAAAATGTTTTAGGAAAATAATTTGAATGACAAACAAGGGCAGTAACTGACTTACAAACAATCCTATCAGTATTCAAACTGCATTTTTTAAGGACAATAGAACTGCCTGCATCAATAGACATGCAAACCCAAAGATACAGGCAGTTAAGAAAATTAAAGTAAATGCATTTTTAAAGGCTGGTGTAGGGTCTTTTGTTGTGGTGGTGGTTTTTGGTATGTGTGTATTCATGTGTGTATAGAGTGCTAAGGATTCACTCATACTTTCAGGGCAAGTGTTTTATCCATTAAGCCATTTCCCCAAACAGGACAGACACACAGACACACAGACACACATACAGTCACAGACACAGACACAGACACAGACACAGACACAGACACACACACACACACACACACACACACACACACACAGGTTTATATATCTTCACAGTAATTTAAAAATATTGTTTGATTTTTATATGCTAATTCATATAATACATACTCGTTTCCATCAAAGGCTGAGCTACAGCGAAAACATAATTTAATTACAACTCAAATATACTTTGACATTACCACAAAATAAATTTTAATTTAAAATATAGTCTAAGTAAACTAAGTGGGGAGAAGATTTAAAATTATCCAACTTCTTTTAAACTAAGCCTTCAAAATGTAATTCATTACTTTGTGGAAAAATTGATCTCATTTCCAATTTCAGACTGAAACAAAGGGAAAAGAAAAACCCACTACAAAGTCACAACTACTTTTAAACATTCAGCATAAACAATTAGTTGGACCTTTTATACAAGGAACAGTAAATTTTCTAAACAATCAAATGGTTAAAATTATAACTGAACATGGGTTAGAGAGATGGTATAGTAACTAAATGCTTGCTCACTGCTCTTCCAAGGACCTGAATTCAATTACTCGTTCTCATTCACTTGACCGTGACTCACAACCTATAACCCTAGCCACCTCCATGTGTATCAGCACTCACATGCAGACACACACACACACAGACACACACACACTTAAAAATAAATATAAATCACAACTAAACATAGGGTAGGCAGGGGAAGTCAACTTATTTCAAGATTAAAGAAAACCAGCATTTAAAATTATTTTTTGGGGAAAAGGAATCGGAAAATAACTATGTACTTATAAAACAAAAGTAATTTATCTATTAAAAAAATCTATACTGTTATAGAAGGCTCTGGAATTTATTTTCAACAAAACAGATAAAAATAGTAATTGGTATTTTTAAAATCTGTAATATTTTTGAAGTATTAGAAATGAACAATTGTTAATAATTCCTGAGTATAGGCAACAGCAAATGTCCAAACATATCTTCACTAAGCAACAAATTTTAAAGCATACGTTAAAAACCATAGATTAATTTCTACTTTTAATAGTTTAAAACAAAGCCAACATAATTGATTAAGGAGATCTAGTTAGTATTTGCCTGCTTACTATTGACTTTATTGAATGTCTGAAATTTCACTTAGGTAATTAGAGGAAAAATGAAGAATACAGACATTTAATCTAACCTGAACTCAGGAAAAACATTATGTCTAAAAAATTCTTTTAGAAAATGTGTAATTTCTATTTTTAGGAATGCCCTCAGTTGGTAACTATTCTGCATGAAGGAATTTTATTATAAGTAGAAAACATCTCCAGAAATAAATGAAACATTAATCCCCTGGCTGTTTCCTGTAAGGTTAGAGAATTTTTACAGTTTATATGCTTTAGAATTTTTATAGTTTATATGTTTTGAATTATATTGTTTGTGTTTCATCATTAAGAACTGAAAACAGAAAAGAATTTCTCAAATTCTGCTAAACCAGGGTTGCCAAACTATAGCCAATAGATCAAAATTCATCTTTTTAAGCACTGAGATTTATAAGAATCCAACCAACGGATTAAAAAGTTTATTTCTCTCCTTAAAACAGTAGCTTTTCTATTCAATGTGATTATAATGGTACTATTATTCTGATCATTGTCCTGTTTTATTTATTTTAATGATTTTGTAAAGTAAAATTACCTTGTTAACAATGGTTCTAATTTTTTGCATTCCATGTTACTACATTAAACTTATTTATATGACTGTAAAAAAAAAGTTTGTTTCTCTCCCAAAATGCATGCAGAAACTCTGTCTATGACTTGGTTATGATAACTGGAATGTAGCCCTTTGGGAATAGTTAATTGTAATGAATAAGGTCAGAGTAGATCACATGAGGGTACAACATAAAGAGCTGTGAAAGACCACCAAGGAGGCCCTGGCCAGAAATCCTGATGAGCATCCAGACCTGACATCCCCACGCCAGAACTGTGACAAGTATTTGTCACTGAAGCCTTGAAGGCTAAGGTATTTTGTTATAGAAGCCAGAGCCCAGTAAGACACAGTCCTGCTCATTTGTCCCTATGTTGTTCATGTTTGCTTTCCACCTGGAACAAGAGAGCCCTATGTGGAAAAAAGCTGCTGATTACTATCTTAAACTGTCTACAGACGTTAAGAAAATGATCATACAGGAACCAAAATTGGCTCAGTAGCTAGGAACACAGACTCCAGTTGTAGAGGATTCAGATGGAGTTCCTAACACCCACACTGTAAAGCTCACAACCACCAGTAACTCCAACTTCAGGGGCACGCTACACCTCTGATCACTGTAGGCACCCACACACACACTACCAGATACACCCAGAATTAAAAATATTATTTAATTAAAAATATATCTTTTAATAAATATTTAAATCAAACTAGATAAAAAATGTGGAAGGGAAAGAGCATTCAGCCAATGCTCTGGATAATACGCTCTGGCACTATAGGCAAACTGATGGTAGTATTTTCTCAATAGAGATTCCTCTTCCCAGATAATCTAGCTTCTGTCTAACTGACAAAAACTTAGCCAGGAAAAACTATTACTAATTATAATTGCTCACAATTAATTTAATTACAATAATTTCAATTATAAAATAAAAGTGTTCAACATGTCATAACTAAAATACTCATTTATTAATTATGAAGTAGAC